GGATAAGGGAATAACTGTATGTATATATACGTATATATATGTATTATAATATATAATATATAATATATATTACATATATACACGTATGCTATTATTATAATATTAATATGTATATGTGTATATGGGTATATTATAATAATAATATACATGTATATATGTATATGTATATTATATATATTATATATGTATATATGTGTATGTATATATATACATATATACATATATGATATATTTATGTGTATATACATGTATATATGTACATTATAGTATATGTGTAAGTAAGTTTAATAATAATAATATATGTTATTAATTTTACAATATAATATATGCATTTTATACATTGGTGAGCATTGGGACTAGCTAATCCTCCCTTTCCACATGGGATTAGTAGTCCCCTCCTAAGGAGGTGTTTTTGGTGGGCCCGGTATTAGCAATCTCATCTAAGACTAGGATTAGATAAAACAAACATGGTACTAAATTTAGTCCAAGCCAGTCCAAGCCAATCATGTGTACCAAACGAGCCCTAATTATTCAAGTGTCGTTGGGGTTGTGCCGCGAAAAGGTACAATATAGATTCGAATTTTGCCATCATCAAGAGAAAGGAAGCATTGGAGTTTGAATGAAGGTTAGCTCAAGCTTTTATTGCATTATGCTAACATTTTGCTTAGTAGTTCAGTTTGAATATCTTTGATATGATCTCACTTTGAATACAAGCGATACTCTAAATTATAAGAGGGAGAGGGTTTCTCACACACACTATCGGTGTCATGAAACTCGAACCTGAGACCACTGATCTAAAAATCAAGACCATTTTCTACTGGGTAGACCCTGTTGGCGATATGATCTCACTTTGAATTGAATAGAATTCATTTAACATACTGATGATGTACTACAGGCTACCTCGAAGGAAACAAATCGTTACAGAGTTATCTACACAGGTTACTTGAAGCTCAGGCATTCGAAGCTGCAAGCAAAGCATGGAATTGGATACCCAGCCCAACATCGTTTCACCTTTTCTTTTCTTTCCTTTTCTTTTTTATTTATTTATGTTTTGTGTTCCCCTTCTTTTGCTTGCTGTTCTCTCCTAGCGCATTTTTCATAAATTTCATGCACAATTGTTCGAAATTCAACAACTCCCTACACAGTAATGTTGCAACGGGCTGCCATTGTCTCTCTAGCATAACTGTTTCTTCCTGTAATTGATGCAAGAATAATTAGTTCAACTTCTTCCCCTTCCAAACTCATACCAATTAAACATTAATTGTTTACGTTCTAACCATTAAAATTGGATTCTTTAAGGGCATGCTTTTGGTCTTTACCTATGTATAAGTCAAAAGAAGACAGGGATATAGTCATATCTAAAGGTGGTGGAGATGGAGATGGAGATGGAGATGGCGATGTTGCCTCAAGTTCAGGGAAGACCAAAATTCTTCATCCACCCATTGAAAGCCATTGGCATCTCCCTCCTCAAGACAAACACAGGCCTTCATCTTCAATGTCAAACTTAGGCCTCAAGACAATGATCAAGTTTCGCGACTCGTTCAAGAAGCTTGGAGGGAGTAGCAGCAGCATCAGCAGCAATAAGAGCTTGAAAACTGTTCTCGGAGGAGTTCGTGATCCGAAGGATGAAAATGTTGTAGAGTGTTTCAGAGAACTGCTTTTCCTTGAGGGCCAGCTTCCTCCACAGCACAATGATTATCATACCCTTTTAAGGTAAGTTGATGGGAACATTATTTGACATCAAGTGTTTCCAAATTTTCTATTTCATTGATAATGCTTTTTTTCTTTCTTTCTGAGATTTCATTTTATAGGTTTCTTAGAATGAGGGACTTTGATTTTACAAAAGCAAAAGATGCCTTCTTGAGTTATCTTAAGTGGCGCGAGGATTATATGGTTGATGCAATTCCAAAGGTGAAAGATTTCGTAGTAAACTATATTTTCCAACAGATACAGAGGATAATGATATATTTCATATTGGTTTTACAGCATGACTTATTTCAGAAGCCTTAATTTTGGTGTGCTTATAGCACAGAAATGCAGGGATATCATGTTATGTAAACATTACAGTGTGTAGAAGCTTGAAGCACAAGTTACTCTAAAGGCCTGTTTTAAGATAAATTTGAAGATAGCAAACATGGGCTTAGCCAAGTTGGCTAGAGCAGATGTGCTCCTCACTCTACACCGGAGTTCGAATCCCCATCTCAGTAGTTTAAATTAGAATATTGCTTGTATCAAAAAAGATAAATTTGAAGATAAATCACCAAGTCTATATTAATTACTCTAAAAGCCTGTTTTAGTTCTAGCTTTCATGAAATTAAATATAAAGTTTCAACTAAAAAAGATGGAACAATTTTAACCAATAAAATTTGACTGCAGGCCTTATATAGGTTGTACCATTATCATTCTACATCAACTAGTCTCACTACAGAAGGGCACATCACTACAACATTTTCTTTCCCTGTTTTTGGCTAATCCAATAGATGTTCTGATATTGCAGGAGTTTAAGTTTGAGGAGTATGAAGCAGTAAAGAAATGCTATCCTCATGGATATCATGGGGTAGACCGGTACGGTAGACCGGTGTACATCGAAAGAATCGGGATGGTAGACCTTAACAAGCTTCTTCAAGTAACTACCCTTCAAAGATTTGCCAAGTATCATGTGTCGGAACAAGAGAAAACATTAAATTTGAGATACCCTGCATGTTCACTTGCAGCCAAGAGGCATGTAGCATCTACAACAAGTATTTTAGATGTGAATGGAGTGGTGAGCATCTTTTTCTCATGTTTGATCTAGAGCAAACTTTCATACAAAGTTGTTCATCCCATATGTTATTTCATGAAGATTTGATTTTGCTGGCTAAGAAAAATTAAAAAAAGCCTCATCAAATGTGTTATTTGAATTGCAACAGTAAGTTCTAACATACTTGAAATTTGTGTTTGATTAGGGATTGGCTAATTTCTCAAAGCCTGCTAGATATCTCTTCATGGAAATTCAGAAGATTGATAGCAATTACTACCCAGAGGTACGTGGGTTGTCATTGTCC